CACTCTCTAGGGACCTCAAACCAAAAAAGAACTCCCCTAGGAAAAAAAACACTCCCTCCACATCCTCACGAAAACAGTCCTCCCAACCATCAACCCCTCTTAGTAATGACACCATCCAGCGTAAGACTTCTATTGTCCTAAAGGTCACTCCCTCCACATCTTATGCCCAGATATAAGAGTTTTCCCTCTAATCAGCATGTTATGATGGACACTCGAGGGGTGTCTCTTGGCTGGTGAGCAAATCTTTGAAGGCTGTGTGTGCTCTTGTCTTCGCAGATCCGGTGGGCAGACTTTGCTTGCTGGATGTTACCATAAAGGATAAGGCTCTACGTCTCATTGGGGTTTATGCACCCAATAAGTATTCTGAGCAGCCTGCTTTCTTTTGGCAGATCGAGCGGTTCCTGGCGTCAGCTCGTGTAGTTTTACCGGGGATTGGAATGCCATCCTTGACCCCGATATAGATCATATAGAGCCAAATTCGGGTACTAACAACCCAGACATGAAACCATTTCGGGACTTTATCGACAGGTTTGATCTTGTTGATAAATACTGAAATGAACACCCTTGTGAGGTAGTGTGGACTAATAGTGGCGGCTAGGTTACTGAAGTGCGTTCTAGCTACCTCGACCGAGTCTTAGTCAGGAGAGTCGATGTTGGGCTCTTAGGGTGTCCAAGTTTCCATTATATAGTTTATTCGGATCATGGGCTAGTCCGCCTCGGGTAAACTTAGATAAGCTAATAGTTAAGATGGCTGGTTACTGGAAATTGAACTGCTCATTATTTGGAGAGCAAGATTCCCGGACCAGCTGCTACTAATGATACAGAGGGAACTGACGGTGGCTGTGGTGGGAAATGCCTGGTGGGATAAAATTAAATCAAAAATTAGAATGTTTGCTGCTGATTATAGTCATTGGCTCAATCTAGATAGATTAGCGGTGCAAGTGGCTTGTGAGCAAAAAGTTGATCGGGTGATTAAATCCCGTGATAGTGGGGACGTAGCCTTAGCTAAGGCAGAGTTGGCCTCCTTGCTTATCAAGAAGGATCAAGCTCTGGTAGTTAGGGCTAGGTTAAAAAGAATGTCTCCTGAGGCAACAAATATGGCTGCTGAATTGCATGCAGAGGAGGTTCGCAGTGCATCTCGGCGACATATCGCATGCATCACATCGCCGGATACGCGAACCGTGACCACAAACAAGGACATATGTGAGGCTTTTTGTGAGCACTTTCAGGAACTTTTCACCAGGGAGCCCAGTCTGAGTCCTGCTCAGTTCGACGCCTATTTAGCTGACTTTCCCTCCCTTGAGGCAGCTGAAGCGGCTAGGTGCGAGGATCCCATTACAGAGTCGGAAATCTGGGAAGCGCTGAAACAGGTTGGCCTGGACAAATCTCCGGGATTAGATGGTCTTCCGTACAAAGTGTACTTGAGGGAGTTGTCTGTTTTTGTTCCCTTGCTGGCACTGATTTTCTGCAACTGGATGAAGCAGGGGTCTATACCCCAATGCTTCACCAGGGTCGTGATCAATTTGTTACGAAAGGATAAAAACGGTGGGGATGGGTTAGGTAACTTTCACCCTTTAACTATGTTAAACACAGAGTTAAAGATTTTGGCTAAGGTCTTAGCGAACCACTTGCAAGCTGTCCTCTCTAGTCTGATTGGCTCCAAACAGACTTGTGCTGTGAAGGGCAGGACTATTCAGGACAACCTTCATATGGTACACTTGATCATCGAGCAAGTCGACAGTGAAGCTGCCCTGATCAATTTAGATCAGTCCAAGGCCTTTGATAGAGTTGACCATCGATTTCTGGAGGCTGTCCTTTCGGTGGCCCGTTTTGGGCCACACTTTTGCACCTGGATCTGACTTCTGTATGTGACCCCCGGTGTGCTGGTGGAGGTGAATGGAGTACGATCAAAGCCTTTCATATTGTCTCACTCCATTCGTCAAGGTTGTCCGATTTTGCCTTTGCTTTATGTTATTACGTTGGAACCTTTCCTTCGCAAGTTAAAGACGAATCCAGTCCTACGCAGAATTTCCCTGCCGGGTGCTACCACCGTGCCCAGGTATTCTGCCTATGCTGATGGAGTTTCGGTTCTTGTGTCGAGCAGGGCTGAGATTGAAGTCAACAAAGAAATCAGTGGTTATGAGATGGTGACAGGGGCCAAGATCAACCACGATAAGTCTGCTTGCGGTTGGGTGCGTGGAAGGGAGTTTCTCTTCCAGACCTTTCCTCTGGATGGATGGTCCTGATCTCCAGTTGGAAAGGAATTGGTCGGAGGTGCAAGGGAAGGCTGAGATCGCAATTAATTTGTGGAGGAATCTTTCCTTAAAGGGGAGGGCGGAAGTATATGTCTCACACATCTACCTGATTCTCCTTTACCGACTCTCTGTGCTTCCACTTCCATCTGACACTTTACTGGCGTTAGTGAGGCTCTTGTTCTCCTTCTTGAGGCGGGGGGCAGAGTCTCTTGGGAGATCTGTTGCCTTCATCCATTTGAAGGCGGTCTAGGTATGCCTAGCATTGAGATTCATCAACATATGCTTCCTGGATTGAATGTGTCGCGAACCAGTTGAGGTGGGCGCCTTCTGGAAGGAAGACGCCCGTAAGAAAATCCCATGTACTCGTCCGAAGAGGAAGCCCACAGTTTACCCAAAGTCGAGTCCTCTTTCTACCGTGAATGTCATGCTCTGAAACGACTCCTAGGGGCGTTGGATGGCCTCTCTAACGTCCAGGCGTTGTCTCATAAGGCATTATATCAGGTGTTAGTTAGCGGGGCTGTTCATGATGAACTGATTGACAAACTCGGTCTTACGAAGAAGGAGGCTCGCTTTATATAGCCTTGGGTGCCCGGGTTGAAATGTCTCAATAACAATGAGGCATCAGTCACCTTGCTGATGATGCTTTGCCTCTGGGGCGCCAAGAGACTTTGCACAGTGGGCTTGGAGAAATATCCAAACTGCTGCCGCTGTAATGGGGAAGTCAAGACCATTGGTCACGCTTTCTTTCATTGCAGGGTGGTAGCGTTATTGTGCAGGTATGTTGAAGGCCTCATGGTTCGCATGCTGCCTGGAAAGGTCTTTGTTCTTGAGGCCACTTCTGTTTGTAGCAATGTGGCTCCACTGTTGATGAAGGCTGAACATTGTGTTCTTATGCTTGTTAGGTATTATGAGAGTCGTGATTTGGACAACACGTCAGAAGGGATTCTATGACGGCGAGAGGTTCACTTCTTTCCAATTGATCTTATACTTTAAGCATCAGCTTATGGTTAAGATTAGAACGGAAAGGCGGTGACTCTCTTCATCAGAATTCAGCAAAAGGTGGGTGAATCTTGCGTGTTTGTGTCATGTGAAAGGGGCTGGGCTGGCCTGGAGCGGCACTTTGATGCTAGTTAGGCATCAGGATATAGCTTGCCTGGGTTGAACACGGGCAACCCATCCCAAAATTAGGTTAGCTTAGGTTTAGTTTCCTTTTTCATTAAACTTAGCTAGGGTATATATGCTCATTGGCCCCTTTTATTTCTGTCCCTATTTTCTTTAAGTTTAATTCCCCATCCCCTGCCTCGTTAGGTGGTCAGTGATGTCAGTTCTCTGGTGGATGCGAGGCGTCTTTCATTTCGTGTGTTTTCGTATTTTTTGTAGTGTCAGAATGAGTGCGTGTCTGTGTGAGTGCTTGGGATGAACGTTTGTTTATATTATTATAGTCCCACATTAATTTTGTCTAGTTAACTGATGTTTCTGCCACATTTAGTGATTGTGGAGGGGGGGGGGTTATTACTAACATGATTTTGTTTAGTTTTCTTGTAAATAGTTATTAGTTCATACTGTAAATACTCATTGGGGCTAGTTTTTAAAACTTTTAAACTGTTGTTTTATCACCCCCGCCCGACGATATATTGTACATATGGGGACTAGTTAGTATTTTCATGGAAACATTGAGGTATTATGGTGGGTGTGGTGAGAAAGGTAAGTAAGAATGTGTTGTTTTGGTGTAGCTTGCTTGTTCTAGAGCCCAAAGTGGAAAATACCAGTTGTGAGGAGTTATTACCCCTCAGGCAGCATCTTCCCATTACACTTAAGAGGGTCAAGTCAAGGTCTGTAATTCATTAAAGCATCTCAAAAGATAAATTCTGATAAAACTGGACAATTTTTGGTACTACTCACTTGTATGTGTGATGATTCATATTAATTGTGACCTTGTATTGAAACTACCATTGTAGGGGTAAAATAAATTATTTATCTGTGCCATCAAAAATAAGTATAATTAATATAAGTACAATGCAATTGAAAAATTATAAGTCCATTTATATCTCAACTAAACAAACTGGCTGCTAAAAACAAGTCCAGTCTCAAATAAGTCAGTGTTTTATTTGTCAAGTTTAAAATATTAAGACATTTCTACAATGCAATCAGAAAAATTCTGTACTTAAAAGTTGGCAATTTACTCTGATGATGTAGAAGCGTTACATGAATACACACACAAGGAGAAAAAGTTCTCAGCCTGACCCACTTAACAAAATCTGACGCAATGATCTAACAGAAGTTTTTTTATGGGATTCTTTGGTCAGGCTAAGAACTTTTCAACATTTTTCATCTATAGAGACACATTGCATTTTTTATATAGGAATAAGAATCTACTTTGTTTAATTTCTAATAAATAAATATGCTCTGTGAAATGGTCATAGTAAAAATAACATTAGAAAAAGTAATAATTATGATTCAAATAATAAACAGTTCTGAGATTTTAAAATTATATTAATATAATAAATTCAGTAGCAGTAATAATTGTGTTAGGTTAAATAATAAAAAGATATGATATATTACTCATAATTAATGATAATTTTTCTGTAAAAAAAAAAAAAAAAAATTCATGTTCTGCATGTAATTTTTAAAAAGAAATACCATTAAATCTGCCCAGATCCTAGTAGTAAAAATGATTCCATTTAATTTGTACTTTAAATTGCTTTGGGTAAACAGTTTTTACAGTCTGTAACTTTCTCTTTCTAGGATGTTTTCATGTCCCAAGAAGCTTAATGATGTGTGAAAGGATGCTAAACCAGATTATGGATCAAGGAAAGAATAATAATTAAAGAAAGACCAATGGAATTAATCCTAACCTTTGACTTATTAACTATCAACATGGTCTGCTTATGCCAACACAAGTAAAAAATCTTTGTCTAAACAGTTAACTTTTTTAATAAATAAAAAAGTTGAAAAATTTCTTTGATAGGAAAACAAAAACAATTTAAATCTTGAAAAAAAATTCACATGAATCAGTTGTCATAATCTGACATTTGGTAAAAGGATGAAATAAAACAACTGCAAAATATGAAATTCAAAAAAAGAAGTACAATACATAATTTGGTTGTATATGATATTCTCTTTTTCTTAAGTGCTCTTCAGTTGTATATTTAACTAATGATTCAGACAATAAAATAATTTCACTTCAAATCTTGCAAAGAATTCATTTTTATGTCCTACATTTTACCAATACAAGAAAAAGAGGAAAGAACAAAACAAGACAAATTTATCTTTATTTCTGAGATGAATAATTATCATTATTATACACTGATTTACTCAAACTGGTATCATTAACTTTGTTGTTATAGTCACAATGATTTTGTTATTTTTTTTTAAATGAAGAATTATGATTATAATTATCTGCTTCAAGTACTGTTCTCATCTTGGTTTTTATGTTTCAGCTACTGTACATTCCCCTCTTCTCCAGGTGTCTGTCATATTTTGTAACTTACTTGGACTTTCAAACAAAACTTCTTTTTTTGTTGTCATTCTGATATCCATGTTAATTGATGTCTTATATCAGTTATTTTTTCTTAGATCATCTTACCCCATTCATTTATTCAGTAAAAACACTGGAATTTGTTTTTTGTCAGTTCCAGTGATCTCTGCTAACCTCCATCTCCCACGAAATTGTTATCTTCTATAAGATTACCAATAAAAATAACTAAATGCCTTTTATCAAATCATATATAATTTTTAAAAAGTTTTATAAATAATGAATAATGATAAAAGCTTTCATAGAACAACATAGAAGCAAAAGCATTTTATTAAATAAATGAGATTAAAAGAAAAAGGTTTAAAAATTGCTTTAAAAAATATGACAGCAATCAATAAAAATGTTAATTTCATTACAAATAATTCAGTATTTAAAATATATATAAAAAGCATGTTATAAAGCAAGAGAAAATTTGAGTTAGAAGTTAATGTTTTTCAAGTTAAAATTAAAACAGTGATGCAAATGTTTTGTTCATTAAATAGTTTTATAATAAAAGAGAAAAGTGACATGAAAAACATATTTGTAAGTAATCAATAATTAACTAATAAGAAAGTGTAGATAATGTTATTGATATTTTTGTATTTATTCACATCATCCTCAGCAGAGAAATCATTAACAAGTTTCCTAATTTCTAAAATTGTAGTGATTTACTAAATTTGGTACATGGCCGCAATATTGCAGCACTCAGGATTGAAATTTATGAATACAAAATTCATTTGATAAAAGGAGTCAACCATAGTTGGAATCATTGAGTCAATTTGAATGATCCTTTCCTTATCTGTACAGCATGTGCTTCACCAGGGCTACATTTGATAACCATCACTATAATATTTTAATGTAAGTTGTTGAAGAGAGTCAACATTGGCACAAGGCCTCATTTGTGGAGCACTCAATGAGAATATATTCATAATCAATGGTCGTTTCTCTCTTTAAAATAGATAAGTCATAATTTATCAATAGAAAAATATTTTTCAGATTTTACAGAAAATATAAATTTCTATTTTAGAGGATTCAGAATTTGTAGCCATCATTGTTTACATGATGACAAGAAATACATTAAAGATACTTTTAAGCTCCTCCAATACACTAATTATTCAACTTAAAATTGAAGGCTTGTAAAATATTTCAAAATAGAGGAGTGAACCATTCAGGCAAGTCCAACAAATTAAGATATATTATTTAACATATCACAATTACAATTGAAAAGAATTTATCTAAGTTTAACATAAAATTTGTTCTAAAACAATAAGAGACTTAATTAACATAAAACAAAATAATAATAAGCTAAAACTTGAAGGAGAAATTTACTCTATCACCTTTAATAATTGTCACAAAGAATACATAGGAGAAACCTTAATGAATTTAAATAAAAGATTATATGCACATAAAATGGATCTTTTACAAAACAACACACTCAATGCATTAGTTTCTCACCATAATTTCAATTTTTAAAAAATGCTGCCTTAATTAAATGAGAAGGCAATTTCCTAAGGCACAAGTGTATAGAAAGTGCTTTGATCGCTAGATCATCCACAGTAAATTTGCATGCAGATTCTTACATTTCATGTTTCTTGGCAGGTCTATTATCAAAATGTAGGATACTTGATAATAAAAGTGATAAAAACAAAAGCATAAGGAAACTGAATGAAATTCCAGTGTTTCAATATTTTCCAGTGCATAATTATAATCAACACTTGCATTTTTTACGTTTCCCCTCTCCTTCCTACACATATATAATTCCATCAACAAAAATATTATTTTAGTCCAATGAAGTCACAAAACATGTCACATAAAAATTTTTTCCACTTTGTCATTAATTTGCCTAACTTTATTATTATGTAAACTTTCTTTTTCTCACTAAGACCAAACAGTGTCTCTGATATATCTTTTCCTTCCATCTTTGCTTATAATCAAAACAGAATGGTTCATTATTTATCTGAGGTAATGGCACGGTGTAACCTATATGCTAACTTACTAATTGAGGAACAAGAAAAATTATAATATGATATTAAATCATTATCTCAATCTCTGATATTTTTAATTTAGTGTTTATACATAAAATATTTAGCTATCATTTCAATATATCAGTGAGAAGGAGTGTCAGATCCAATAGTAAATTAATGCCATATCATTTCAATACAATGAACTAAGGATTAATAAGAGTTAACTGAACCTAAAAACACTGTAAGAATTCATAATTCTCATTCATAACCTTATTTTTTACACTTTTTAAGTGGCAACACCTTAGCACCTTATAAAACTGTATTCAATCGAATTATAGATGTATATAAATTAAAAGCAGTTACAAATTACAAGTCATACTCAAGAACCATATTAAACAAATATATTAAGTATTTATTTAAATTCATCCCTGGTTATTTAAATTCATCTACTGGAACTGTATTCAAAAGGCTACAAAATATATCAGTGTATATGCAGCAAAAAAATTGAAAAATGATCTTAGATGTTCATTCTAATATATTTAATATCCTAAAGTCATTGTAATGACTTTAAAATATTAAATATTTAGAATATTATTTTTTAAAAGATGTAAATGAAAAACATGAATGAGAAAGTGATTATTAGAAAACATCCAAAATTTGTATTTCAAAGCTTACACAAATAAAGTTTTAATATGAAATTAACAAAAAATGAATATTGGCCAGAAAGGAAGCGTATTTTAAAACATTTAATTCCAGTAAGTTTATTTAAACTGTAAATAGAACCTATATACACAAAAAACATGTCAAAATTAAAATCTCTTCATAACTAGTGATGACAGCCATTTTCAAAATAACATACATGATGACACTTATTTAATGAGATCATATAATGAGGCTGTCAAAAATGTTTCTGTTAAAAAGTTTTCTGTAGCTTCCAAGTGATTTCCAGAATTTTTTCTTAATGATCATTTATAAAAAAAAAAAAAAAAAAAAAATTAAAAAAAATCTATCAATGTTGTCAAAATTTCCTCATTACAATATAGCATTGCATATTGATTAAACATTAAAGTAAACATTTATTTTCATCTTTCCCATACAAATATACAGAAACAGCAAAAGCTGATGTAAAAATATAAGACATTTTAAATGAATAAAAATAAAGAATTTTTGGAGATTCATTTGAAAAATAGTATATAATTAAAAAATAAGGAACAAAAAATCCCATCCTGGAAACTAGAATTATGATCATCAGTAGTCTCCTTTCTTAAAATCATTTATTTTTATTAATTAGAATCAACTTCAGAAAGATGAGATTGAATTCCAATGATTTTTTACCCCAGTAATGTAACATTCTTGTCTCTTGACATAAATGAATGCTTATTTTAAATCAAATTTGCGGTAGTGGGGATGGGGTTCATGTAAATTGCTTTCATAAAATTAATAATTTATTTATTATAATCAAATTGTAGGAGCTTGTTCATTTTAATCAAGAGTGGTAATCAGTTTCCCTTGTTATGCTAGTGAAGAGATAACTATCTACAACGGACTTTAGGAGTTAAAACAATATTCCAGTTTTAGTTTAGACAACTGAACATCTTTTCATTTTTAATATAAACAAAAAGAAAAAACATTACTGGAAAAGAAACATGATTTAACAATATCAAGGAGTTCAATTTGTCTGAACAAAATTTGGAATGTAAATAACTCTGGTTCAAAGTTATAAACAATACAGCAATCAACAATAATTGTGATTTTTATATTCCCATCAATATAATTATTATGTAAAGTGTTTTCTTATATTCTTTCAATAAAAAATAAGAGATAAATTTTAAAATTCTTTGGTAAGTGAATAAATAAGGAAATATGCCGATGATAAAATATCAAAAAATAAAAATTAAATCCCATGCAAGACAAATATTTTGAGGAACATCAGGGTTCCAATTTTGTTAGCAGGATTAAGTCATAGCAATTTCTTCATTACGAGCAGCAGCATCAACCTTATCCAGTATGACTTCCTGCTTCCTCTGATAGATATCATAAATAGTAACAAAAATGGCCATAAGGTTTTTCATTAAAAAAATGGAGATGTTTCGATTGTAGACGTTCCAAAGAAGAAGACGAATCACAATGTATGGAATGTTGACAACTAGCATCAACAAGATCTTATAAACATCAACAATGTGATCTCGTAGCCGCTGGTGCCCAAACTGTGTCCGGCTTAGCACCATGAGTGGTACAAGAGGCAGAAACAGATTGACAAGACCTGTAGCTAAAATAGCCTTCTCCATTGAAAAAGATAAAATAATTCTTGATTGTTCAGTAAAAAGAATATCCAAGATATCAACTGTATCAAAAATATCAAAGGTTACACTTGAGGTAAGGTTATCTATGAATTTCTTGCGTTCACTTTCTTTTGAAGTACTGTAATGAGACAATAAGAATAAGAGGAATATGGGAGCTGACAGAGCCAGCATCATTTTAAGAATGTTTGGACCCCAGAAGTCCTTCTCATGTAGTTTGTAAGCAAAGAAAGTGAAACAAATGAGAACTTTGCCAACAAAAATGATGGCATATACTCCCCAAGCAATGTAGCTGAAAGGAAGCTTGCTGGCCTGGACAACACTGGCGGCTGAGACAGATAAATTCCTGAGACGCTGATCACGAATGTGGAAATATGATACCACCAGAGCTTTAATAAAAAATAAAGAAATATATGAATAATTAAATATATAAACTACATTAATCAGAATCAAGAAAACAATTATGTGAATAGAAACATGATTATTAAACTTTCTATGATTTTATTTTGAATAGTATGTGCTTTTATCATTGTTCTTAACATTTTGGTTCATTAAAAAATGCTATATTCAGGCACTTTGTTGTTAGAATTCTCTTACAGGTGTTGAAACCAAGCAACAATATTTCAAATTTATTTGGACAAGTGAGCTTGTGCTGTTGACACCACAAAAACATAAATAACTATTCCTTTAGAAGAAATAGGTTTTATACTTCTTTAACAGCAAAGAATTTCAACTGAGATTTTTTAATCTATTTTTTTAAGATCTATACAGATAGCTAAAGTTTTTAATAGTTATACTTTTTAGAGTTTCCCATAATGATGATGATGTAGGAGTAGTAATATGAATCTTTCTTTATGTTAAAATTTTACTCTCATTAATAAAATGTTAAAATGAAGTCTTATTGCTTGGTTTACTTGGAACTGTGTACCCATGTTTTAATCTTGTTTTCTAATCTTTGTCAAGTGACATCTGCATTCAATAAAATCTTTTCAGTAACTGTAATTCTCAACTAAGTCATCATAGAGATGAAAAATGGAATGTTGGAAATTGATAAAAATACATTAAAAATCAATTTGTGATTATTACAATATCATTTTAAAGTATTTCATTAAAAATAAGAAATTGAGTCTAAAACATTTTAAAATTTAAACAAACTATCAATTCATTTTATTTCATTTGTATCTAACTACTTTTTCTCCATTTTTCAAATAATTCTTGATGCTTTTTTTAAACATCTACATTTACTTTTGTGTGATTGGTTTATAATTAGTATGCATAAACAAAACAATTACACCAATGTCCAATTTTAATATAGAAGAAAAAATTAAAGTGAATATTTGTGAGCCATGCAAACTTACTTCAAAAAGTAGATTTAATAAAATTAAAGTTAACTGTATATAAATATAATTATTTATTTGTATAAAAATCTGTATACAAATATACTTCTATAGGTTTCTAAGATCTTCCTAAATTCATTTTAATATAATTGAATTGTGAATCTCAAATAAGTGAAACTGAAAATAAAATAATTCAAAATGTATGAACAATATAAAAGGTGTAACTCACCTATAATAAAAAGAAGGACAACAATTATGTCACCTGCAATAAAAGCCAACCATTTTTTATTTATGTAAGTTGCTAGGTAGACATCAATTATAGCCATTTGCAAAATGAGTAAGGTTATACAAAAAATCCGGATTGGAATGAATGCAATCTTTGAGCAAATTTCCATTATGATTGTTCCACCCATTTTGTTGTGATTATTTTATGTATAAAACCAATCAATTCTTTTTTTCTGAAAAGATATGGAAAGAGAAAATGTTAATACAAAATTTTGGTTTAAAAAAGTATAAAAAGAAGATGCTTTATAATAAATAATAATTATATTCAACTTTATTAGATCCATTGTAAAAACAATGTTTTTATGACTTACTGTTTAGAAAAAAATGAGTGAAAACATCACAGCTGTAATTATTTTAAAGATTACCTTTTCTTAAGACATTTATGAAGGTATATTTATTAAATATTTTTGGGCATCATAGTTTTATATTTCTAAGGATTTTTAAAATAAGTAAAAAAAAAAAAATTACAAAATTTATATAGCATATATGTAGTCTGTTGCATTCACTTTCACACTAACCCTTTTAAGAAAGGCATGAATCCATCTGTTCTTTCCAGCAATGGGTTAATTAGTAGACCAGTCTTGGTTGGCAGAGAGTCTGAATTAAAAGCCATGGAGATGGCTGTAGCAAACCACTCTATTTTCCCAAGTAGTCATGACAGTTCACATATAATAAAAAAAAAAAGAAATCTGTGGAGAGACATGATTGCCTACATCCTGCAGGGATATGGTATTAAAAAATTACAGGGGAAACCGACTTTATTTTGTGAATATAAAATTTTGCCCTCACTAAAGATGCAAAGTTTTGTAATTAAATATAAAATGGTCATTTAACTACTTCTATGTTATTAAAAAAAACAAAAAAAACAATTGAATGATTTTTAAACAATACTTATAAAATTATTTTATGCAATGCTAGATTGCTTTTTTTAACTTTGAAAATAAGTTGAATTTATCAAGGTGTTTAAAAAATGAATTAACATTTGTGGTGCATATTACTATTACATTTGAATTCTGGGAATTAAAGAAAATAAAAACTTCATTCATTAAATTGTTACAAATTTCGCTAATTCTTTTTCATTTATAATAAGAATTGTTCACTTGCTTTGAAATCAATTTTTATTTCTTGAAGATAGTCCATGTAGACAAACTCAGAAGTGGTAGAGAAACAATAGAAGGGTCTTTTCAGTTATAAACATGGGTAGGTTCCTGAAGGCTGTTATTAAAAGCCTGTCCTCCGGGACCCTGGCAGTCAAGGCAGACATCCCTCAGGCAGGCGTCACTTCTTGGACCAACCCTCTTTTTGCTTTACATAAAAATGGTCAGCTTGTCCAAGGGCAGAAAACAGCGGCTTCTCTTTTTCAAAGGGTTGGACGGGTCCTACTAACATCAGTTATGTTTCTTTTTGCTTTGTTTTGATATTTTGGGGTTCACCCCTCCCTTTCATGATCATTCATCCAATTTGTAATGTATTGTAAATAATATTATCATCTCATTGGGGTGCGTTTTGAGACGGACGAGTTTTTATGGTGAATGAGAAAATTGTAACGAGTGAATGGGTCGTGAATCCGATTAGCTAGGTTATAGTCAGTGAGGACCAGCCTCAACGCATCCCTCTTTTCGGCCTTGTGCCATAATTGTATGTATGTACAAAAACAATATCGATCATTTGTGAACATCTATTGTTGATAACTCCAAAACGGTAGATTTTTTTAATCAAAATTTCTTTGTTATTTTCGAATTAAGCATACATAGCTAATGGTCAGATTTTTTAGCGCGGGGCCTACCCGAAAATAGGCAGAGTTTTTGTTTTGTCCGCTAGGTTTTTTCATGGATTCATGAATTCATTTTGTGGCGAGAGGTTAAGATTTCTAACTAGAGGAGACGGGTAAAGCTGAGCTGAGTTAAGAAGAAAAACAGAGAAAGTTTTCAGCTCATAAAAAAAAATTAAAAAAAAGAACAACGATTATGATTTTCAATTTAAAATTTTTATCTTTTTTAAAAACTTCTACAGATCATAAAAGAAAATACTTTTTGAAATATTTTTATTAAAAAAAAAAAAAAAAAAAATATCAACTCTCCCTCGAGTGCAAATTTTTTTTTAGTCACACGAATTCATCATTTCAGAAAGAAACTGAAGGTTTCCTTCATTCTATGATTTTTTTTTTTAACTTTAAATCTTTACCCCTTTAATTTGAAAACATTATTTGAACATTCAAAACAAAATCAACCACAATTCCCCAACCCTAATTTAGAATCGCTTTTCACTGTATTTTTGTTATTGTGTTTTTGTGGGTGTATGAACATGATCGTTTTTTAGATTATCTTCTTCAACAAAGGGATTTTTTTAAAGCCTGCAACATTGAGATAATGATTCGTATGTGAAATTACGAACTCTGGATTTTCTTCGTTTAAATTCAGTTAATGAACAGAAAATGATAAAATTTTTACTACAAACAAAGAGTTTCTTTTTAAAAAAGCCTTTTTGAAAAAAATCAATTGGTAATTTATGAGAAATCCTTCCAAATATTAAAATTTTAAAAATAAACAAAAATAAAGGTTGACGTAAATAAAAATAAGAAACAATTCGTCAAGAAATGTTGTCATCGCTAGTATAAGTGATGTCAACTTCAGCGTAGCATAATGATTAGTAGTCGAGTTGACAATCACTAATACTGAGTAGTGAGTTCGATCTTCGCTTGGTGTTTCATCCTTGGAGTCTTAATGTTTCAGGAAATCCTGGTGGATTGCGTTATGGATGGGCAGAAAGGCCAAAAAAATAATGAATTATTTGACATCTTGAAACAAAAAAAAAAAACAAAAAAAAACATTGTTACTTGGTGCATATCCAAGCCAGGAGTGGATATTGACATCAAACCTAGGCTAAACATTCCAAAATCCAAATATTTTAAAAGCACTTAACAATTTTTCATATTTGAGCGAAAAAAAAAAAAAAAAAAAAAGTCATGTTTCTCTTGAGTTTGGAAAAGAGGTATTTTAAAAAGGTTTTTTTTTTTTTTTTTTTTTAAAATACCACTTTAAAAAAAAAATTCAACTTTTTTTCTTCTACCTCGTATTTTCACTATATGTTACCTATGAAACGTGGAGGCAAAAGATATTGATCATCATAAACGTAACACATTTGATTTTGAAATATAAATTACCAAAATTAACTCTTTCACCAATGATCATCCATAGAACATAAAAAACAATTCGGCCAGCAATTTGTCAAAAACACAATTCAATAATAAAAGTAAAAAAATAATTTGTTTCTGAGAAATATGAAAAAATAGGGAAAAAAAATATGCGGACCGAATTTTCCGTATGTTCACACTCAAGAGAAGCAGTAGTAAAACAAGTAAATAATTGATTAAAAAAAATAAACAGTTTAGGTTTTAATTTTTAAATGATTATTTTTTTGACATTGTGTGTGCGTGATTTTTTTTTTTAAAAAATTAAATATTGTTTGGACAATTGATGAGAAATTTGTGCGAAATTTAAATATTGAATTAGCAGTGTTTAAAAAAAAGTTATACGTACCTTCTGCTTTTGTGTGGAAGAAAGTTTCAACACAATTATCGACTAACTACTGACTCTCACCTTCAAAGTCAATTTTCCCATTAACCAATTTTTTTCTCAAAGTTTAAAACAGAAAATTAAAGCTTGTTCTCAGTTGACAAAAAAAAAAAAGTGTCGTCATGTCCACTATTAGCAATCACTATCTCCACTGCTAATAAAGAGATAAGTTTTTTTTTTTTTTTTTTAATAAAATCAATATGACTTAAAAGAAAAATCATAACACTACACTACAGTTTTTATGATGAAGAAAAAATGACAATGGTTTAAGTTTTGCTTTTCGAGTGAGATACTTTCACATTACGAAAAAAATCAACTCACTGGGATAGTAGTTCGTTATTATAAAGAAAACGTGAAATTAGATTAGCTTAGTAAATTTCAGGCGAGATAAACAATTAACTTATGTCTGTCTACTTTCTGGAAATCTCAGTAGCTACTCCCCATTGTATTAAAAGAAAAGAGTTACACCCAGAGATGCTTGTGGCAATGGAAATAGGTTGCTGTATCATTTGCGCACACAAAAATGTGCGTGGGTTTCTTACGTTAAAAAGGACCACGTGCCACCTCACATCCTCATAGTTCAGAGGATGAGTATTATTGTGTTGTAGTTGTGTAGTAAATAAACATAACGTGTTGTATTAATTAAAATCAAACAAAAACAACAGAATTTGAAACTGAAAGTCATTTAAAAAAGTAAAATTTAAATTACTTTGATATGTTGTAGAAATATATTTACAAGGCAAATAAAAAGCCTTAAAGGAAACTCTCATGCCAAGTTACAGGCGACAAAAGAATACAGTACTCTAGAATCTAGATTTTAGAGAAAACTTTAAAATTAAAGAGAAACAAGTTTTTTTTTTTTTTACTGTGGACAAGTAGCCAATCAGATTCGTGCGCGCTAGAAATATTTAAATGTTCACTTACTAAGTTATCAGGTCCCACCAAACAAAACAAAATGGATACTTTTTTCTGCAATGAAAGTAAAAGTAAAAAAAAAAAATCGACACTCCCTGTTTTAAAATATTTGCCAAAAATCAGGGAATTATCCGATTCAAACGAAATTTTCAGGACTTATTCATTTATTTTAGTGAATGACTATTGAACAGGTTATTTTTATTAAAAACAAAATGTTGGGGTTGTTTCATGGACCTTTTCGATATCGCGTATTTATTGTACTTTACCGTAAAAAAATAACGAGATAAATCAAAACTTCTGTTTTTCTTTCCTTTTCTTTAAATTTCAACTTAACTTAATATTTTTAAAAAATCTTATTCTTAACATTCATTTTTTTTAATTATTATTACTTGTAATTTTTCAGTTCAATTTTGAAATTTATCCCATTACTGTAGTTTGTCACATTTATTTTGTAACTTTGTTTATTAAAGATATGTTTGAAGATTTTAAAAAATATCATTTTTAATGTCATTTTTGCGTGTAAACCTTTTTAAAGGAATTTTCTTTTCTTTTTTAGCAACTGTTAGATTATTTTTGGTATCGATGTACAAAAATGAAATAATTCTAATTCTCATTGACTATGAAATTATTAATCTAATTAATTTCATATCTCCCATTCAGTCAGTATAAAAAAATAAAATTATTATACTAAGTCTAATAAAAGTGTATAGAATAAAAAATTATATTCTCAAAATATTGGTATTAGTTTTACACATAAATAATAGATTCTTGATTATCACACTGCTGGTCTTCCGTATATCATTAGGTTTTATAATAAAAAAGCATGGGAAAAAGTAAAAATAAAACTTTTATTTTTACTTTTTCCCATGCTTTTTCACATAGGAGTAGAATTAGAGTCTTTCTACTTTGTCCTTTGACCTCACAGGCTTGTGTGTGTAGATAAAACATTATTTTCATTCAGTTTCTTAGTAAAAGGTAAGCATTACTTTTAGAAAATCCAGTTAATTAATCTTTAAATTGACATTGAAACATCTCCAGGACAAATGGATTTGAAAGAATTTTCTATTTGTTGTTTACATTTTCCATATAAAATAGTGGAGAAATGAGTCAATGAATGACAAATGTACCAATATTTTAGAAATGCCTCAAAAAGTTTATTTATACATGGAAATTATTTTTTCTTTTCAGATTTGCTTTAGACCATTATCTTTCAAATAGAACCAAAATTTATGTTCAAAAAAGTATTTAAAATATTTCAAAATGTGTTTTTTTTTTAAGTTCATGGCAGTACTTACTGTTTACAGTTGTATAGATTCATAAAAGATAGTTTAACCTAGAGAACTATTTATGAACCACACAAGACCTTTTGTAAGACACTGTCACCAGCTCTCTCATACAAAAGTGCAATTGTTGCTAAACAAAGAGCTAAGAGAGGTAATTTATCTTTTCAACAACAAAACATTGTAAGATATTGTGTGTCTAACTCTCAAATGCAAATATTCTTACTTACACATTCTCTAGTATTCTGCTTTCACGTTCTTTTTCAACAAAATATTGTACAACATATTTCTTGTGATGTCCGTATAATTCAATATAGATATTTGTATATATTTACTACAAATAATCAGTTTCTTTCTTTATTCATTTCTTTCATTGCCACCAATTATTACTGCTCATAAGACATTAAGAATTCAACTCTTTACTTTTCTTGTGTAAATAGTATATTCAATGCAAACTAATAACCACATCTTTGTCTTAAAGAACATTACAAGGACTTCTCATTACCCACATGTCCACTATGTAAATGCCATATAATAAGCTTCCAGTAAAAATCTGAGAAATTTAAATGCTTTAGTGGCAATCTATACAATTTTATGACTGCTGTCTCAGGTAAAATGAAAATATTTCCAGTATTTTACAAAAATTATTTTTAATAAAAAAGGATTATATTAAAATTGTATGAAAAGAAATAATTGAAATGTTGGAATTTTTTTTTAAAAATCAAATGCACCCCATGCAAGGCTAGCATGCCACTAAGACACAAGGGATTACTAGGTATGAAAGAATTAGAAAATAGAAGCTTTATTGAAGAGTGAGAACAATAGAAGAGTAATCAGGAAGACAGTAGATAACAAGATTGACATTGCATTTAAATTTTTGAAGATCAAACTTAACTGGAATGCAAGAAGCCAGTAGAGTATCCCACAAGCAAGAATTGTGAGAAAAGAAACTGTTAGCATAGAACTTATTGTTACATCTAAGCAATTCAACTGTTAATTTATGGGACATTGATGCTAAATTCATTAAGTTTGGATACCATAACAAAGAGTTCATCCAACAATTACCATGAAAGCATTTACAGTAAAGGTAAAGGGAAGCAACTTTATCGAAATCAGTGACTGAAGCCGAGACACCAGGTTAGGACCAATAATATTGCTGATTTTTCTTTGGATTTTATCAAGAATCTTTAAATATATAGCAGGAGCACTGGACCATATATGGTAGCAATATTTGAGGAATGGATGAATGGTAGACTTATAGATATGTAAAATAAATTCTGAAGAGAAAAATTGTCTAGCATGACACAGTGAACCAACTTTCTTAGTAGCAGACTTGGATTCAATATAGTTTTTCCACTTCATTTCAGCTGAGAATGTTAGCCTGAGAAGGCACAAGTCACTCTCCTGAAGGTTAGCATCAGCCATGCTGATGGAAGTCAGAAAATGGTATCTCAGATGATTAATAGAGAGCAGTTTAATTTTGAAGGTGTTAAAATTAACAAGTTATTCTTTACTCCAGTCAACTGTAGGTCATTTTTGAGATCAGCTGCCAATTTAACCTTATCAATCTATTGAGACAGGTGTAAATGGTTGTGTCACCAGCAAGGTCACTGATGAAAATTAAGAACAAAGTAGTACCAAGGATAGAGCCTTGGAGGACATGTACATTAGTACAAAAGGATCTAGAAGAGTGTCCATAAAAGTCAACTTTCATTTCACAATTTGATAAGAAAAACTGAATCAGTTCAAAAATTCATCCAAAGATACGATAACTTTTCAAGTTGTGTAAAAATCAATATTGAAACTATTTTAATAAAAAAGATATTATAATTGTATGAAAAACTAAGAAAATGTTGGAGTGTGTAAAAATTAATATAAAAATGGTTTTTAATAAAACATAATATTGAATTGTATGAAAAACTAATTATGAAGATTAGAATGTTACTAACACAATTTCTTTTAAAAATGAAACTGCCAAAATGCAGCTAGACAGTTTATAAAAATAAATGAATGAAAATTGATGTATAAAGATTTGAAAAAAAAAAAAAAAAAAAAAAAAGAGTCTCCAAATTGATGTTATAAAAAAACCCACCAAAATGAAGCAATATGGTTTAATCATTCTGTGGCAAAATTTTACAGAGGATAGGCTTGATGATGTTGTCAAAAACCAACCAAACTTACATTGCAAACAGTCACAGTTTGATTGAAGTGTTTCTCAAATTGATCTGGTTGGTGTCACTTGTTTCCTATATAAGATGGAAAAAATTTTACATCATAGTCTAAAAGGAATAGGCAGCATCCAGGTGAGAAAGCTGTGATTTGAAAAGAAAGGATTAACTGCCTCAGCCATGTAAAGTATGATGTTGCAATAGGATTTGACCACCTGGATAAGAAAGCTGTGACTTGGGATAATAAAAGGCTGCCACAGATACTACTACTACTACTGTTGCTGGTGAAGAAGAAAAAGAAGAATAATCTTCTAAATTTGATATATGAATGTTTTTTCTAAACTTGTGAATTTATCTCATTTGAATGTCTTTTCTAAACCAGTCAGAGTTTATCTCATATTTGAGAACAACTTTTCTGAAACATAGATATTTTATTTAAAGGACCCAGATAACCATGTTGGTCAAGGTCAGCTGTTCTCACTCTCTCTCTCTTTAACTTTCAACATTTTGAATTGTGAATTTTTTGAAGTAAGTACATTTCTTTTATTGTTAATAAAGTCATTTATTTGAACTATTGCTCAAAGGGAAAGTTGTTAGAATTCCTTAGTTGTTAAGAAAATTATTTGTTTTTCATGAACTGCAGTTTCCTAAGAGAAAACAGATTTGTATATTTAAGAACTGTTAATCTGCCTTGATAGTTTTAGGCACAAAAGGAAAATTTTGTGAAAGGCATATATTATAATTTGTACAATTTGTATTTTGTAATTTTAATAAATGCTTGTTTCTTTACAAATTTTGTTTTGTCTTTTTCATTAACACCTTTAAAAATAATTATAAAGAGAAGGATGACAGATTTGAAACCTCACCTATTCACTTTTCTATTCCTTCTTTTTCTTTTGATAAAATATTTTATCCATATAAAATTTTAAAATAATAGCATAATTAACGGTGAAAGAAGAGTTACAAAAATTGTCACTCACAAGACATATTGAAAGCAAGAGGAATAGAAGGAAATGGTGAGTAACCTATTCTATCAAGCTTGGATGACAGAACAGAGAATAGCAGGGCTAGTAAAAAAACAAATATTGCTACGAGATACAAAGAATTGGATGTTGTGATCGAATAGGATGTTGTGGAGAGTTCTGGTGGTTGAGTGGTCCATGACCTGGAAGAATAAATGAATATGAGACACACAACACTCCAATTTGATCCTTAATTGTGCTAGAAGAGAGGACAAAGCAACTTGATCCAATCAATTGGTTGGTCACATTATACTCTGGCACTTATACATTTTCCCGATTGTTTACAATATTTAAATTGATACATAACATGCAAGTATTAACACTCAACCCATTTTACCAATAAATGCCAAAAGCTGGTGACAAAGGTCAGTCATTCTATTAGATCATGACCACAACATGGCTGTGCATGTTCTAGTTACATAATACTGAAATATCTGTAGTTAAACAATATACATATCTAGACATAATATTTGATGAAATATTGTCTTTCATCCAACACATCAAGTATTTGAGAAAAAAATGTAACAAAGCAATCCAGCTACTCTAACTAGTAGCACTTACGGATTGGAGAACTGATAAAAAGTCCTTTTTAAGACTTTAATGATCAACAGTAAAACCAAACAAGATAATGGATTTTTTAACTACAGGTCAGCAAGATAATCATACTTGAAAGGACTAGAAAAAATACACCATCAAGATCTAAATCACTGGTATTTTTTAATACTTCTCCTGTCTATTGTCTTTATGCTGAAGCAAACAAGACCCCATGATCATTAAAGTGATAAAAATTGGCATTGCAATACTTACTTTCTTGCCCAAAAACCATTAAGCCTATGCATAGAAGATTTTATTACTGAAGCCCAGCTGAACACAATATATATATGAAAAAAAGATGTCAAAAACATCACCCTGGCTTCTAACACAACCAAAAGTCATACTGGAACTTACCAAGCTCTACAACATAAATACCAATCCATTATGTTACCTCAGGGAATTACAAATTATTAAAAATACATACCCTATATATATATATATATTTGATGGTCCTAAAAATGGAAACAATATAGGATGCATAGCTATATTAAACTTTGAAAACTATCAGATAATACAGTGCATAAATCATAGCTATAGATTTAGCACTCTAAATAGAAATCATTTCAAAGAATCAACTTTATAAATCTATATTTTCTGATTAAATCCATACTTATATTGCTACAAAATTTTTAATACAATATTCACTTGCCAAAAAATTTTATTCAATACAAAAATATGTTTTGGCTTTAAGTAACTCACAAATGGTTAGTAAGCCATAAAACAAAGTTAATCAATATATGTGTGTGCGTGTGTGTGTGTGTGTAAGAGAGAACATGGGAGAGAGGAGATGGAGATGAAAGACAAAGAAACAAGATTGTTTGCTGAATATCAAGAGACAATGAGCTAAACAATTAAAAGGTAAGTAGAGAATGGAAAGGAGCCGAGATTATGATGCCTTATAATTCTTTATGGTAACATAAAGCAAAAAAAAGATAAAAAAGTGCATACAGTAATATTTATGCATTTTTCATTCTTTGTATAACATTTAGATATTTTATTTAAATGTTGTCCATAGACTGATTTCATAGGCAGGTTATGAAGAGTGGAAGAAATAAAGTGGAGAATGAGAAAATACAGGTGAAAGAAGAGTTCAAGCAGGAGATGACATAATCAAAGTATTCAATATCCATAGTATTTTCACAGATCCAACTAGTATAGCATTCAGAAAATTTAGTTTTATAAGTTTTGATTGAGCATTCAGTCAAGATCTGTCTATTTACTAGTTTGCCACTAGCCTCTTAAGGTACCTTCAGA